TGGTTAGCAGTGGTGTTGTTAGCGGCAGCACTGGAGTGCAAAACACAACTACATTTGATAGTGATCAAGTATGGAATAATTTTCAGTTTTTTACAATACTTTATTGGTGTTCGCCTTTTGAAGTGAAACTTCTTTAGCGGTGCTAGTGTATTAAAAAATAATCAAAAAAAAAAATGNATAAAGATGCTGCAGACGATGTGCCGCGTGCAGGGACAGATGCAGAGCGGTGGTGGTGGTGGTGGCAGTGCAGCTGTGAGTGTGGGAGTTGGTTCTGGTAGCAGCGCTGTACAAAGTGGCGCCAAAGACGAAGAGGCTGATGTTGTTGGCGTTGGCTCCGGCAGCGTGGTTAGCAGTGGTGTTGTTAGCGGCAGCACTGGAGTGCAAAACACAACAACATTTGATAGTGATCAAGTATGGAATAATTTTCAGTTTTTTACAATACTTTATTGGTGTTCGCCTTTTGAAGTGAAACTTCTTTAGCGGTGGTAGTGTATTAAAAAATAATCAAAAAAAAAAAAAATTTATACTTTGGATGCAACGGAAGTGCTTAATATTACCGTTGAAGTTAAGGTCAAGGTCAAGGCTAAGGTTAAGTTTGAAGTTAATATTAAGCTTGAGGTTAACATTAAGTTAGGGTTAAGGTTAGGGATAGGGTTAATATTAGAGTTAGGGTTAAGGTTGAGATTAAGGTGAAGGTTAACGTTATGGTTATGGCTATGGTTGTGTTTAAGTTGAAGGTTATGGGTATTGTTAAGGTTAAGATTAAGATAAATGTAGCATTAAGGTAAAGCTAAGATTTAGAACGAGATTCACTGTTAACCCTTTAGTACCGTGTAATCTAATTTAATGCCGATACATAAGGATAACATTAATATTATCGATGAGACTTGAATCTAAGGATAATTTAAATATCAGGTTATTTTTTTTTTTTAATTTTCAGATATAGAGTATGGAATCTAACCTGTCGATATGTAATATCAAACCAATAAAATATTCCCAATTATCATTTGTCTTAAAAGCCGTCATCGATTCGCCACTTCTTTGCTCGCTATGTTTCAGTTCCGGTCACTTAACAAAAAATTTTGCATGTGAAAGCAACAAAAAAGTTTCGCCACTCGCTAACTGTTGGCGAATTGATGAAGGCTATAGTATAAAACCAAGAACTAAAATATATAACATATATTAGTCAGTTTGAAACGAACAAGAAATGAATCAAGAGAAGTTTCACTTCTGTAAAGTGACAGATTCACACTAACGTTTTCTATTTTGCTTTATTTTCATAGCTAAATCCACAAGAATGCACGCCAGAAATGTTATTCTTGCATGGTACTCCCGCGCAAGTATTGTACAACTTGGGTGTTTTGAATGGCCTACTCATACCCGCATTGGATCCTTACGGCGAGGCGGCACTGCAAGTGCAATCTGCTTGGCTGCACTCGGGTTGCGCGCATTTCATTTTGGAGTTACTAACCAAAAATAATTTCCTACCCAATGCTGATATGCACACCAAACGTGCTGCGTTTCATTGTGTGTTGCGTCTGGCCAGGTTGTTCCTCTACACTGTTGGCTATGTGCTATCACGTGTCGGCGACGAGCCAATGCTTCGTGACTTTGATGTTGGCGCACGCTCACAAGTCGAAATACTTAAGCAAATACTGAGCTCAATACCGAATAATTCGGAGAGCACCATGCGCGCTATTTCCACGAAGTTAGCTGAAATTTTAGCTGCGGAAATGCTTTCGGCCAGTGCCGAAGGCGAACGCTGTCGCATCCTATTTAGTTCGACGTTGCAATGGTCCTCTCCGGACATTACGACTATTAAGGCAGTCATACAATTGGCTTGGTCGTCATCCTGTGGCAATCTGCAGGCGCTTGGTAATAAGAATGACTTCGCTAACGACATCACAATGCCGGATGCACAAGATTTCGCAATGTGCAAAGAGGCTTTAGAAGTGCTAACCATTTCATTGGTGCTTAATCCGAGTGCTAACGAGGCGTTGAGTAACGATCCCATTTGGCCGAAATTCATTACATCGCTTATACTAAAGAATCCATCGCGCCATGTGCGTCAAATAGCTGCTGATCAGCTGTTTCTTTCGTGCACCTATTGCGCCGGCGACCGACGTCCATTCGCTTACATGGTAAATCTGCTCGTAAATTCATTGAAGGTACTGGTGCCGCAATACGAGGCCACATGCGCTGACTTCTTTCAACTGCTGTGCCGCACACTCTCGTACGGAAGCGTATGTAATTGGCCGCTCAACATCGGCGATGGTCTGCTGACTGAGGAGATCAATTGGTTGCAAAAGATACGCGAGAATGTTTTAGTCACCGGCGATATACAGGTGCATGAAGATTTGTTGGAGGGACATTTGTGCTTGGCCAAAGAGTTGATGTTTTTCTTGTCGCCCGAAACCAAAGCGCAACTTACCGATCTGATAGATGAGGTTATTGATATCTTTCTGTTCCCATCATCACGAGAGTATCTCCACTTGCGAAAGTTCAATAAGCTGAGGAACCCAACCTCGCCACCACCCGTCTGTCGCAGTCCGCACACCATAGCAGCGGCTTGCNCTTACCGATCTGATAGATGAGGTTATTGATATCTTTCTGTTCCCATCATCGCGAGAGTATCTCCACTTACGAAAGTTCAATAAGCTGAGGAACCCAACCTCGCCACCACCCGTCTGTCGCAGTCCGCACACCATAGCAGCGGCTTGTGATTTGTTGATAGCACTTTGTCAGAATTCTGTTCCTAACATGAAGCTGCTAACTAATACGCTTATAGATTTCGTATGCACAGATACGGAGCCGTTGCGCGAATGGGACTTCTTACCGCCAGTTGGGCCGCGACCGATAAAAGGATTTTGTGGTTTGAAAAATGCCGGTGCCACGTGTTACATGAATTCGGTGCTGCAACAATTATATATGGTGCCATCCATACGCGTCGGCATACTGAAAGCTGATGGCGCTGCTACAATTGAGAATGAGGATTTTAGTGGTGAGTCTGATGTGGCCAGTATTAATAGTGCGCTATTCTCCAGTCCTGGTAGCGGTGAAGACAATAGCAGCACTGATGTGCGAAAAAACTATCATGTGGTGATATTGAAGTATGTGCAGGCGATATTTGCCCATTTGGGTCACAGTGCACTGCAATACTATGTGCCGCGTGGCCTTTGGGCGTACTTCAAGTGAGTTTGACGAGCGATAGTTTTTTTTTTGCTTTTATATATACTGTTATTCCCTACGCGCATTTTGAACCAATTTTTAGATTACAAGGCGAACCCGTGAATTTACGTGAGCAACAAGATGCTGTTGAATTTTTCATGTCACTATTCGAAAGCCTGGATGAAGGTCTCAAGGCTTTAGGTCATACTCAACTAATGAATGCCACTTTGGGTGGTTCATTTAGCGATCAAAAGATTTGCCAAGAATGTCCGCATCGATATTCCAAGGAGGAGCCATTCAGTGTGTTCAGCGTGGATATTCGAAATCATAGCTCACTAACCGAATCGTTGGAGCAGTATGTAAAGGGTGAACTTCTAGAGGGAGCTGATGCATACCATTGTGATAAATGTGATAAAAAAGTAAGTTTATCGCTTAAAAATAAGTATGAAACAGCCATAACTATTCCTATAATGAAAGCGATAACGATTACGATAGAAATGCATCAAAATACCCGAATTATTTCGGGTAATTTAGTTAAAAATATCTTCATTATAAACGATCTTAAATCGCAAATTTAAAAAGCATCTAAAACAATTTATTGAAAAAAAAAATATACGGAAGCATGATGGTTTTTTCATGAAAACAACTAAAAGAAATACTTCCAAAACTGTTTTAAGTATACTATTTTCTAAACCAACCATTCTTCATTTAATTTTACAGGTAGTTACAGTTAAGCGGTTGTGTGTAAGAAAACTACCGCCTGTGTTAGCCATTCAATTAAAACGTTTCGAATACGATTACGAGCGCGTTTGCGCTATTAAATTTAACGATTACTTTGAGTTCCCACGTGTACTCGATATGGAACCATATACAGGTGAGTACTTATTCAATAAAAAACAATATATATATGTATGTATATAAATATGGATGATGGATTCGGAGTTAAAAAAGAATAACGGCTAAAGTCGACTTATGACATAACTGCCGGTTTCACGTATCAGAAGAAGTACGGCTTCTAATTAAATGCATTTAACCTACCAATTGTTGTTGAAAAAATTGAGTGCTGCGGCGGTAGACTATCCCACCAAGGTCTCCATTTGTCCATGGCCACCCTCATCGTTCCAGATATCTGGAAAACGGGGAGAGTGGCCTTCTCACTGCTTAAACCGGGGAAATAGCACTTAACGCCATAAACATAGAAATTACTCGTGGCCTGAACAGAAACCTCCCCACAGCGTGGGATTTTACGAATCTAGGGGAACTTAATTCTGTTTAACCACATATTATTTATTATATGTATTTTTCGGTATATTTATATTGGGATGAACACAAATTAGGATGACAACAAAGAAAAAGGATCAGTCCAGCGCCTTGTCTTGACCTGCGGGCTGTGTTGGAGTCACAGCCGCTAAACTTAAGCTTAGAATACGTGATCTTACATTCAAGTTAAAACGGTACATGAAATATTCGTTTTGATTGTATGGAATTGAATTTAATAAATCAATAGGAATTGCAAATATTAATAATTAGTAATAGAGAAGCAGATCCACATAAACTTTAGTCATATGTGCCATCAGCTTATAAATAGATATATGCCATGGCATGTATCACTACTACTGATTAATTTTTTTTCCCTTCAACCTGTAGAAATTCGTATTACTTTTTATATTAGCCTAGGTCCCCGTATTAGTATTCTTCTTCGTGTTCGTGCTCGTCTTCGCATTATATTCGTCTTCGGATTTGTGTATACGTTAGCTAAGACTTCTGAAACAGCTGGAAACTCTAAATATAGTTATGAAATAAACAAATATCTTGCGTCTGATATTGTGATACCTAAATATTTCATGTGCCTGATGAATTAAGTTAAATTTGATTTTTTAAATACGTGACAACGCTCCAAAATACAGTTAAAAAATAAAGCCTTTTTAAACTCATTTAAAGACATTTGATACCCATATTTTTAATAATTGATTTAACATATTAAGTAATTTGAATTTACCGTTTTAAACAGGTGGCAACCCTCTTTAATATTCTAAATATTCAAACTATCTTACCACCTTCGTTTCATATATTAATATTTCATTTCACCTATGCATACTTTAACTAAATTCTAATTTTAAAACAGGTGGCAACCCTATTCAAAATATTTTAAAACCAAAACCTTGTTAAGCCTTTATCGACTGACACAAATATTGCTATACATATTAAAATTGTATATCTAATTCCCTTAATTCAAGTTGAATTTAATTTCTAAAACATATGGCAACCCTCTCCAGTTCAGAAAAAAAAATTTTAACCTATGTCAATTTAAACCCATACTTTAATTATTCATTTGACTTATTAAATAATTTGAGTTAAACTTTTTACACAGGTGGAAACCCTCTTTAATGTTATAAATGCTCAAACTAAATATTTCTTAATACTCCTTTGTTTGACGCCAATACTTCAATATTTCATATAATGTAATTTAATTCGCCTTTTCGAACAGATGGCAATCTTGTTCACATTATTTTTAAACAAAAACCTCGTTACACCTCGTTACAATAAATCATATATCGCCACCTGAAATGCAAAAAGACGTAACAACATCGTAACTGAAAAAGAAAAAAGTCGTGACTAAAATTTTTTATTTTTTTTTCATTAAATGATGTGTTAATCAATCAAAAACGGAATTTTGAATTTTTAATTAGTTATGACTTTTTGAATTACAGCGACGATGTTTGTTACGCCTTTTTGCATTTCAGGTGACGATATGTAATTCGGTCAAGGCATTCGCGATTTTTTTATTTTATTTTGATATGTAGTACATATCATTCCTTGTTCATATAAAATAAAGTAGGTTTAAAGAGCTTTATAAAATGCGTTTTCATAAATTTTTTAACCGACTTCACTAAAAGGAGAAAGGTTATCAATTCGTCGGAATATTTTTTTATTTTATTTTTTTAATCTTTTTTATGTATGTTACCGCATAACTTTGGACCACGATTTCTATAATTATTATTTTTTTTTAAGCAAAGGTGTTACCTCACAGGTGGTCCCATATTAATTTTACTTAAATCCGATCATCGAATCATGAAGAAATTAACAGATGATCTTATCCAATAGTATATTAGAGCTTTTTTTTCTGAAGTGCTCGCGAAAGCGTCTATACTGCTTTCTTGTGCTTTTTCTGTCCTAGGGGCAGAATGCAGATTTGAATTATTTTTTTCCGCGTATTGAAAAATCTTGTGCTCACTAGCAGGCATATAATACCAGGGGTATTTTTTCATATTAATTCTTTCGGTTTCCTCAGCATAAGCTTTAAATTTTTCATCATCGATTTCCAAACTGTTTGATCACGCTTTAAGGATAACGCGAAAGTGAAATATCAGATCGTCATCAGTACCTGTGATCTCGGCAGATTTTAAAGAGTTTCGGAACCACCTTCGGCCAGTAACCTTCGGCCATCATTGGTACTCCCCGCTGTCTGTTTCGGCATATCAAACGGGAGTCCCATCTCAGATTGCAGTCTTTAGTTTGTATGATATGTGAATTATGCATTCGAAACACCTAATCCAGGAGTGCAGGGGAGATATTCCAAATGAATACATTTCTTCATCTGGCAAGCGAGAAGCTACTGTAACTTGGTTCATTTCCTTTTATTATGATGATTGTTTTTTTTTTTTTTAAGCCACATTTTGTTTACAGCAAGAAACTTTGCAAGCTTACGCTGACTTTTTTGCCACTTTTTGCATAAGCTGCTCACAAAATATTGCAGACTCCTTGATGTGAGGTCTATGTCCATGACATCATAATATTTTTCAAATATGTAGTGGCAAATTAGTTCAGTTCTATCCTCTTTTTTGCTCTGATACCATATTTGAAAAACGTCTCGTCTCTTCATATTGTACACCTCTACAGAAAATGAAAAAAATATATACGAGAGATGCAAGCAGGTAGAGCTGTACTAATCTTATTCTAATACACAAGCTTATTTTTTGATTTATTTTAAAACAATGGCTTGGCAAACGCACGACCACACTGCTGCAGACACAACTATAATTTTATCGAATACAAACAATGTAGTCACTTTGAGACAATCTGTTGAGTGCACTACGTTGTCGGTGGTAAATTTGAAATGACGTGAAGCAGCCTTTATATATGACTAGTCGAATGGCATGAGTAGCCACCATTTAGTTTTTTGAATAAAGTTCCCTTAGACCTGAAAAATCCTTAACTCTGCGCCTCTGTGAGACACCGTCAGCATCTTCACGCTACTAGAAGACATTGAGGCTTCCTCTCTCCCACAGGGACTCAAACGGCGATCAGCGAATAATCTGAGTGGTCGACATTTGTCAGTAATTTTCAGAGACAAAGCCAGAAAACCGCTGTTGTTTAATTATTACATTTAGAAGATCTCTCTACCACCAGTGGGAGTCTCTTACGCTGACGACTGTTCGACAATGGCGTCCGTGAATGGAATCGGAGGTAAACGTTTACCTCTCCGAACATTCTCCGGCCCGCAACTGGATGAGTTCTGATATCGCCATGGCACCACCGTCACGACGACGCTCAAATGCTCAGTAAGCAGTTTCTAGTAGGGCATCACAGACGTGGGCACCCGAACAGACACCTGCTTGCAGCATAGCCCTCGCCCCCTCGCCTAGGCACGCTACAAGGCACCTATACGAACCAACGGACGAAGTCTTGAGGTTCATAAAACAACCTTTGAACCCGACAAGCCATAAACGACATTCACAGGGAGTCGGACTTGCATTGACTCCGGAACTCTGTGAATGCCGTCTTGGGAGCACAGTCACCTGACGAGACAGAGCTTTGTCTGCCTCGAGAAACTCGCACCACCGTAGCCCAACTTAGCTCTGGATACTGCAGCAGGTTAAACAGGCAGGGTTGGGTCGGCGCTACAACAGCAAGCATCCAAGACAGTTCAACTCCCGCGCATCTTTCCCTTCCCTCACATACATTCGGCTCCAACTCCGGTGGGATAAGAATACTTGTTTATGGAAACGTGACATCAGGTGAGGTGTTTGCCTTGCCTGGTGCCAGTTCCGAGTATGCTCTGGCCCGCGCACCACACCACCATTCTATAAAAATGTATTCAGCCTCGTTGCGAAAGTCGTGTCGAATGCAACTCGTTTTTCGAGAGTCCAATCGTATCGCAAATTTCACGTCATTGCTTAAAATTTCCACTCGACTAGTGTATTAAATCGGGAAAACTTGGCAGCACTGCATAGTTTTCGAGGATTTTCGTCGTTTACATATTTCAGCCCGACAGTAGGCAATGCCAATGTTGTCGAGTCGTACAATTTAATCTAATTTACGACTTACGTAATGAGACTGATTATATTTGAAACGCAACCGTGACGCCAGCTGGCAGTGAAACTTCCAAATTCAGAAATTGCAGAAATTTGCAAGATTCTCTACTCTAGAGAGAATTTGGGAGTTTTTTTTTCATACTCTCTGAAATTGACTTCAACAATATCCTCACTGCAAGAATTAATTTTTTAAAAACTCACTCTTTTGAAGCTATCGATTAATGAAAAACAAAACTACGATACAACCAAATCGTAAATTGGATAAAAATAATCAATTAATCTAACCAAATGATTAATCGCTGTCAAGCCTAGAAGTTGTAGAATGAGTTGGCTACCCTGGTACGTNGCAAGAATTAATTTTTTAAAAACTCACTCTTTTGAAGCTATCGATTAATGAAAAACAAAACTACGATACAACCAAATCGTAAATTGGATAAAAATAATCAATTAATCTAACCAAATCATTAATCGCTGTCAAGCCTAGAAGTTGAAGAATGAGTTGGCTACGCTGGTACGTACATAGATGAATAAAAGGTTAAAGGCAAAGGTAAAAATAAAAAAAAAAAACATATGCGTGAGAATAAAGACAAAAATGATGAGCAAGTGAAATTAAAATAAAAGGTAAAGGGGNAAAAAAAAAAACAAATATGCGTGAGAATAAAGACAAAAATGATGAGCAAGTGAAATTAAAATAAAAGGTAAAGGGTAATATATACATACATACGTATGTATGTAGATGAAAAAAATAATAAACATAAAGGTAAAAATAAAAATAAATAATAAGAAAAAGATGAGGATGAGAATACCGATAAAAGTGAAGATTAAGATAGAGGAAGGAAGATTAATAGAAAGGTAATTATAAAGAAAAGGACATAGATAGACACAGAGACTCAGTCTGATAATTATTTCGGGATTTTAAAGATTTTCGGTATTCCCGGGACTAAAAGTGCCCACACTCACTTACATAAACGTAGGTTAACGTGTCAGCTGACACGATCAAACTTATGAGAGCGCCATGTAAATGAAAACTCACCATCGTTTACGTGCGACGGTTACGTGTGACGTGTACTGCATGTGTACGTCAAGCAGATACGGCATACGTACACCTCGGTGACTGCTAGCGCCTTAAATCAGGATTTTCAAGACTATTTTCGCGACTATTTCGAGATTTTCGAGACTATTTCGGAATTTACGTTATATTTGTCGTATCTTTTTATCGATATTGTTTCGATGCACTTATCAATATTGTTTCGATGCACTTATCGATATTTTTACCGACATAAAAATCAATTTGGTTATCGATATATTTACCGATATTTTATTGATATTTTAATCGATTTTGGTATCGATATAAAATAATCGATATCGATTTCGTTAATATTTTTAATAAATTTTGTTATCGATATTTTTATAGATTTTGTTATTGATATTTCTATTGATTTTGTTATCGATACTTTTTATGGATTTTGTTATAAAAATTTTTATCGATTTTGTTATCGATAATTTCATAGATTATATAATCGATATTTTTATCGACTTTGTTATCGAGGTTACTATCGATTATGTTACCGATAGTTTTATCGATTTTGTTATCGATGCTACTATCAATTAGTAAATCGCTCTTGTTATCGATATATTATTGATTTACATTATATGACATCATATGAATAAAGGAAAAATAAAGATAACGAAACAGAATAACATAAATGTAATTAGAACGAAGAGTAGAGGTTGGGATGAAGATAGAAAAAAAAATAAATAAAACTCATTACATCGAAAGTATTCCATGTGGTATCACAGCGCTACTATTCTTGGCCTATGTGTGAGAAGGATTGTGCTCTTTAGTCGTTTCAATTTAAACTAAAGATGTTTACTTTAGGCATTGGCTAGTCTTCAATAAATCAGTAAACATGGATGCTAATTTATTCAAAATTGATGTTTGCAATAAAAAAGTAAAAGTAGGAAAAAATTAGTTACTTATATAATTTTGGAAAATGGGCGTGTCATCGCCAACTTATGACCACACACAAATGAATGTGTATCTCGGTAACCGTTCAATCAATTTGTACCAAACTCGGTATGATTATTGTGCTTGCCACATAAAAAGCAAAACGTTCCAACCTTTTCAGAGCAATTTCAGGAATTCTGTTTTTAGACTTAATCTGTTATTCCTTGTAAACAAAGAATTCGATTATAATTATAACCTATTTTTTTTTTCTCTTCCTCTTCTTTTAGTATCTGGCTTAGCCAAACTGGAGGGTGAAGTCGTCGAGGTGGGCGATAATTGCCAATCAAATGGCGAAACTACCAAATATGAGTTAACTGGCATTGTGGTACATAGCGGACAGGCCTCCGGTGGCCATTACTTTAGTTACATACTTTCTAAGTAAGCTATTTTATAAAATTTTCTTAAAATAAAGATAGTTTTTAACATGATCAATTGCCGTGTCTTTAGGAATCCCTCCACTGGTAAGGAGCAATGGTATAAATTCGACGATGGTGAGGTGAGCGAATGCAAAATGCACGAGGATGAAGAGTTGAAAGCACAATGCTTTGGCGGTGATTACATGGGCGAGATTTATGATAATAATTTGAAGCGCATGCAATACAGACGTCAAAAGCGATGGTGGAATGCATATATGCTGTTCTATACACGTTACGATCAAAAGCCTGTACAATTTGAACCTTGTGTGGAGCAATTGTCATTGGCAGAAAGTCGCAATTTCGTATTGCCGCTGCCAAAGCCGATCGAGCGCAGTGTACGGTAAGTAAAGTGTTATGCCAATTATTTGTATGTGAAATAAAAGACTTTGTCTCCTTCAAATAGCCATCAAAATATACGATTTTTACACTCAAAGAGCATATTCTCTGTGGAATTCTTCAATTTCATTAAGAAATTAGTTAGCTGCAGTATTCCTTCAACACGTCCCGATAAAATGGTGTGTTTATTTGCGTCATTTACCAATGTATATTGTATGTACGTATGTTGAAATACTAATTCTTCTTCTAATTTTCAACGCAGACACCAGCTGCTGAAGAACTTTCATTGTTGGGTGTGCAATTAGCATCGCAATTCTTATTCCACACAGGTTTTAGAACGAAAAAATCGCTGCGTGGACCTGTTATAGAATGGTAGGTTTACTTGAGAATTGGTAAGGTTTATCTTCGATTATGCTCTTCCAGAATTTTACGATAATTGAAGTTGAGCTAATTTATATATTTTTGTTCTTCAGGTATGATACACTATCACATCACATTCGCTTCTCCTCATTGGTGCGCAAATGGTTTGCAAATAATGCGCTTCTCAATCCTGCGTCTCGTCTCGGCGAATATATCTTAATGGCTCCATCACCGGAGGTACGCACTGTATTTGTAAAGTTGGTAGTTTTCTTCTGCCACTTTGCTATAGCCGACGAGCCGCTGGCTGGCTACGAAGGCAGCAATCTGTGTGAACAGATTTTGATTAGCGTATTGGAACTGCTGAAGTGTGAGGCTGTCGATTATGGCAAGCATTTGCCACACTACTTTAGTTTATTCAGCATGTACGTGGGCTTGGGTATACCAGAAAAGCAGCAGTTGTTGAAGGTGTGTAAATCATTGCATTTTATTCAAAATTGAATTTCAGTTAAAATGCATATTTTCCACCATACTTTTGCAGTTGAATGTGCCCTTTATATTCATGCAAGTCGCTTTGGATGAAGGTCCTGGTCCATCGATAAAATACCAGTATCCCGAACTGAGCAAGTTGCATCAGGTAGTTTCGCATTTAATACGTTGCAGCGATATCTCTGACAAGTGCCAGAATTCGAATCAAAATGCACAACCTCTTGAGAATCCATATAAAGATCCAAATATAAGGCGCGAGGAGCTCATTCCATTATCGCCAGAATGTGCGGACATACTCTTTAATCGTACCGGGTATGTGAAGNAGTGCCAGAATTCGAATCAAAATGCACAACCTCTTGAGAATCCATATAAAGATCCAAATATAAGGCGCGAGGAACTCATGCCATTATCGCCAGAATGTGCGGACATACTCTTTAATCGTACCGGGTATGTGAAACACTGTGATAGTTTTTATACCCGCGCGCACTTGTGCACAAGGGTATTATAACTTTGTTTACATAACGGTTGTTTGTAACAGGCAAAACGAATCGAGATAGATATAGACGAATGTATACATAAATGGTGAGAATGAAAAGAGAAATCGAATAAGTGGTGACTGTCTGTCCGTCCANTGTTTGTAACAGGCAAAACGAATCGAGATAGATATAGACGAATGTATACAAAAATGATGAGAATGAAAAGAGAAATCGAATAAGTGGTGACTGTCTGTCCGTCCATCCGTCTCTCCGCCCGTCTGTGCTTACGATAACTCGAGTAAAAATTGAAATGTCTTAACGAAACTCGGTACGCGCACTTCTTTCGTAGGACGGATGGTATTGAAAATGGGCGAAATCGGACAATAACCACGCCTACCTCCCATATAACGGTAATTTTCAGAAATACGAAAACTGCCGTATTTTAGTAACTACTGAAGATAATTCACTAAAAATTGATATTTATAAGAATATTATAAATTTTTGGAAAATGGGCGTAGCCACGCTNTATTGAAAATGGGCGAAATCGGACAATAACCACGCCTACCACCCATATAACGGTAATTTTCAGAAATACGAAAACTGCCGTATTTTAGTAACTACTGAAGATAATTCGCTAAAAATTGATATAAGAATATTATAAATTTTTGGAAAATGGGCGTAGCCACGCTCACTTATGTTTACATGTGTATATCTTGGTAACCGCTGCACAAATTTCTTCCAAACTTGGCACAGTTGTTGGTTGGCCTTGGTAAAGCATACCAAATGGCCGAAAATTTTTAAAATTCGACAATAACTACGCCCACATCCCATATAACGGTAATTTAGAGAAATCCGAAATTTTCGACAAATCAGTAAATATTAACGCTAATTTATTCTAAATTGATGCTTTACCAAGAAATACGTTTATGATAAAATTTTGGAAAATGGGCATGGCACCGTCCACTTATGATCACATATATGTACATATGTATCTCGGTAACCGTTCAACCAATTTGTACCAAATCCGGAATGGTTATTGTGCTTGCCACATAAAATCAAAACGTTGAAATTTCTTGAAATCGGACTAAAATTACGGCCGCTTTTCATATAACGGTAAATTTCAGAAATGCTTGAAATTTCAATATTTCGAAATTTAAGGACGCTAATTTACTCAAAATTGACACACCCGCGGCTTGCCATGTAGCCGTAGCTTTCGGAAAGTTGAAAACATATATTTACTACTTGTGCCGGGTATTTAATGTTCGGTTCCGGCCGAACTTAGACTTTGTTACTTGTTTAGTTTGAATTTCTATTATTTTTTTTCTTTTCATTCATTAACAGTTACATTAAGAAGCTAATAGAGGACACAGCTGTTGGTGAGGAAGGTATCAAGCTACTACAGTACTGCAGCTGGGAAAATCCACATTTCTCACGTGCCGTACTAACAGAACTGCTGTGGCAATGCGGTTTCGCTTATTGCCACGATATGCGCCATCACACCGAACTGTTGCTGCATATATTACTAATCGAGGATTCGTGGCAACATCATCGCATACATAATGCGCTCAACGGTGTAGCGGAGGAGCGCGAAGGCTTGCTGGAGACGATACAGCGCACAAAGACACATTATCAAAAGCGCGCATACCAAATAATCAAATGCCTTACACAACTATTCCACAAATCACAGGTGGCCCTACAGATGCTGAACTCGAACGCCAGTATCGCACGGCACTGGACCATGGCAGTGGAATGGTTGCAAGATGAATTGGAACGGCAACGTAGTTGTCAATACAATTCATATTCGTGGTCACCACCCGCACAGAGCAATGACAACACAAATGGCTACATGCTCGAACGTTCACAATCTGCCAAGAATACATGGTCCATGGCGTATGAATTATGCCCTGAAGAGGTAAATTTATTGAAGCACATTATACATACTCACTAAAAAGACTGGTATTAATTTATTATTTTATAGGAACAAGAAGAGACCAACGAGTCGGATATCGAGCCAACCGATGAGACGCAACGACAGCAACAACAAATTACACAAACCCTGCAGACACCCGCCGTGGGTGATGCGCTTACAAGTGATACAGTACCGGCAAGTCCAGCACACAAACCGTTTATTGTGGGCATGGCTCCGGGTTGCACCATTGACTGGTCTGCTGCGAATACATTTTCGGTTGATAGTCAAACAGCAACAACTACGACCACTTCTACCACAAGCAGTGGAAGTGGTGTTGGCGTCNATTGTGGGCATGGCTCCGGGTTGCACCATTGACTGGTCTGCTGCGAATACGTTTTCGGTTGATAGTCAAACAGCAACAACTACGACCACTTCTACCACAAGCAGTGGAAGTGGTGTTGGCGTCGGCGTCGGCATTGGTGTTGGCGGCGGAACTAGCAGTAGTGTTGTGACAGCTGTAAATAGCACTGAACCACAGCAAGCCGCAACAGATGCGAATATCAATGGCTTGACGGCGAACGTGAAGCAGCTGGCACTCTCTCCAAAAACGGTAATTCCCCCCTAAAAGTCGACAGTAGCATTTCTAATGTACTCGTACACTCCTAAGCATACCAGAGCAGCGGGTAAATGAGATTTTTAAGCATTTTCTAAAGCGTATCTATTCTACTAGTGTATTTGTTTCGATTGTGTTTTGCGATTGTTTATGTTGAGTATGATTTAATCTTTGTTTATTTTTATATAAATGAAGTTTCTTATCTGTTACTTATCGGTATTTATTTGTTTACACATTGTTTTGGGTATTGAGTGAATGTGTGTAGTAGTTGTTAAAACTGATTTTAACAATAGGTTTAGAATTTATACCCAAATGTTTTGCTAATTATTAGACCATGAAATACTCTACTATAATGCCCAATTTTCACTAGCGTCGAAATGAANGTATGATTTAATCTTTGTTTATTTTTATATAAATGAAGTTTCTTATCTGTTACTTATCGGTATTTATTTGTTTACACATTGTTTTGGGTATTGAGTGAATGTGTGTAGTAGTTGTTAAAACTGATTTTAACAATAATTTTAACAAACAATGTTTTGCTAATTATTAGACCATGAAATACTCTACTATAATGCCCAATTTCCACTAGCGTCGAAATGACAAAAAATTGGAGGCATTCAAAGAACGGAAATTAATTTAATGACTTTTTTTTTAATGTAATGACACGTATATTTTTAATACCCCACTCTGTCATTAAAATTTTTGCCATTTAATGCCAAGTGGAAATGCAGCAAAGTATTGTGTTTGTAGAGTGATTTTAAATACATACAAACACTCACGCGATATAAAATGTGATGCTGCGCTGTGAACTCGAATAAGGCATCTCTTCTGGTATAAATCACGAACGAATGCAAGGTCGTGGTTTCAATCAAAAATGAGTCTAATGTTTTTGACTCGTTTATTTAATTTTCAGTTTCAGTTATATTCATTATTTTAAGCTTAAGACCTGCTAACTTTATTTCCACCTCACACATTAACCCTTTCAGGACCTAGTTTGATGACAGATTTATTCACTGGATTCAATTTCATGATTATAAATGTTATTGTTTTTTAGTTATTATATTTTTTCAATAGTAAAAACTTTAAAGCGTCTTTTATCGCGTTATTTGATCTTTGGGCTATGACGCTCATTCAGCAAACAAGCGATTAGAAAATTACGTGAATTTGCCGGCTGTTTGATTAACCTTAATTTTAAAATAATTGGTTGGAGCAAATAAATTATACAAATGGGTGGTGTTTAGTTGTAGTTTAATGATGTTGTGAAGGATGTTGAAGATGCTAGATTAATGGAGATAGCAAAAGCGAGGAGGAAGTTGAGTCATTCGTCTAATCCTTTAGAGTTGCAAAAACCAATTTATGTACTATTAATTAAAGAATTTACTAATAGCAAAATCGATTTTAGCATATTTGTTTTTAGATTTCGTTTATCGAAAGCTGTGTTTACTTTTTTGCTGACACTGTTGGGAAACCACTTCCAATAGAAACTGGCGTGAGAAAGACATCAATATCACCACTAAAGCTTACTTACAGTGACTTTACATTTCTGTTTTTCATATATAATATCAAATAACTTTAGGAAACTATAGCAATATCGGGCTTGGCCAATCTACAGTTTCCCTAGTTTGGACGGATTTGTTTCAAGTTTTGGAAGTTTCGATATACGTTAAATAGAGAGCAGATGAGAAACGAAAAGCAAAGATCTATTTTTTTGGGGAGAGTGGACTATTCCAGCAGTAGGATTTAGGTTTATGGAACACACGTTAAACTCGTTGCTCCAAAAAGGAGCTTCAACAACTATACTGTAACCGCTGGGGTTAGTTTAGCTGAAATGTAATGATTGCATTAAGAAAGAAAATTAAACTTTGTAGATAGATGAGCCACTATAACCATTCACGATAGCAAAATGAACGAGAAATCCGCACCCACAATACCATCGATAATACTGTTCGGCAGTCGGCTGGTGAATTGATGATGTATATAGAAAAGTAATTTCTCAATTTTCCCAGGTCGGCGATTTTAAGCGTTATTTCCAATTGAAGTTGATGAACGCTTAGCAGCTTTTAAAACAGTTAAGGTTGATTTAGATGCAAATATTTATACCATAAAAAGGCCTTTCTGGCCGCTGAGTGCGCTTTGGTGCATTGGGCCAAAAAATTTAAGTGAAAGGTATGAAATTTCAAGAAACAGCAATTGCTTAATTTTTATGCTACGGCCCTTTGTTTGCACTTTTCCTTCCATTCACACTATTTCGTAGTATGAGTGTCGACCAGGGCTCGAATCGTTACATACGATATCGTACTACTCGTCACGTAAAAACAAATTTTTCGGATTATGACATACTTGAACGTTCACTTTGTCCCGTTCAGCTTATACCGCCTGACGTATCACGTAATGTTCTTTCGTATCGTATGTGACGATTCGAACCCACAATTTACCTGGACTTACTCGAGTAATTTACTTATCGAGTTTAGACATATACCAATGTACTGCAATTTTTTTAAACAGAAAATAAATATTTTTTAATTAAAAATATGTTTCGACATATTTTTTTTACTTATTAGCCTATGGTCTTGAAAGGGTTAAGCATTGGAGATTTTTGATTTGATTTTTGTTTAGCATAGGAATTTTATTTGGTTTTTAAATATGCGCAAATACGAAGGTTGCTTCGAAAATCTCGCGTCTAGTAAGGAAAAGCGCTAGTTTTTCTGTGTCAAATTAATACGGCCAATTGTAGCAGATATGTGAGTTCTGGCACTGTCAAAATGATTCGCCCTCTTGAGATTTTTTTTTTATTTGGCCGAAGACTTTTGATTCAGAATTGATCGTTTTCCGTTTCTCTGTTTTTTTGCTAGTTTCACTTTGAAAGACGCACACAATCCATCATTCGCTGTCTACTTATGTATGTAAAGGCTATAAACGGTATTTAACGCACCGAAATCGAATTTCTATAATATTTGTTTGCTCCAATTCATACGATCCGTTTTTTAACCGATTGTGAAATTTTTTGAGTTCAATAAACCATCGACAAACAGTGGCTTCTTTTGGTCGTGTTTCATTGCCAAGAGTGCAAGCAGGTTGATCAATGTCCTCTTGTTTTGGTAATCCACATCGAAAGTCGTATAAAATCATCGCACCCTCTGTACCAAGGGGAATATCATATAAGTGACTATAACTAAGTTAAGTTGGGTTGGAGAAACCAANGTTCTGGCACTGTCAAAATGATTCGCCCTCTTGAGATTTTTTTTTTTTTATTTGGCCGAAGACTTTTGATTCAGAATCGATCGTTTTCCGTTTCTCTTTTTTTTTTTTTGCTAGTTTCACTTTGAAAGACGCACACAATCCATCACTCGCTGTCTACTTATGTATGTAAAGGCTATAAACGGTATTTAACGCACCGAAATCGAATTTCTACAATATTTGTTTGCTCCAATTCATACGATCCGTTTTTTAACCGATTGTGAAATTTTTTGAGTTCATTAAACCATCGACAAACAGTGGCCTTCTTTTGGTCGTGTTTCATTGCCAAGAGTGCAAGCAGGTTGATCAATGTCCTCTTGTTTTGGTAATCCACGTCGAAAGTCGTATAAAATCATCGCACGAAAGTGTTATCGTGTTATTCCATTTTTTTTTTCGCTAAAGCACAATTTCCAAATCACTATAAAAAGTGCAAGAACCCTCTGTACCAAGGGGAAATTCATATAAGTGACTATAACTAAGTTAAGTTGGGTTGGAGAAACCAACCCTCAGTGTTCGTAACCCATTCTCCTATCAGAATATTAAGCATTGCCTCACGCAACCGCAACCTCAGTGCAAATTAAAAACCTCAGCAACGCGCCCAAGCTAATGAACAGCTTTGAGTGCATGCGTCGCGAATTTATGCAGGACGCCCTCAAGAGGAACAACCACCTTAACAACTAAAACAAATTTATTTCGTTGGCAACTCTGATATCGAAATTGATCGATGTTTTGCGTCTAACTGTGCTATGAAACGCCAGATGATTGGAAAATTGCAAAAACTTCGTTACGGATACAACGCATTGGTTAGTTTATTTAAAATGGCAATGAATGCTATGCCTTCTGACGACCACAAAACCATAATCAGACCAGATGAATCTGCCACTGGAAGTCATTAAGTGAATAAGTAGTTGGTGAAAGTGTTGTACCAAAATGTTCTAACGAAAAATTAATTTTGGGCGGGACGAAATTCGCCGGGTACGCTGGTACCATATAAATTCCGCAAACTTTTCATCCCAACTCCAAGCATTTCAATTTTAATTTCTAGAATAACTTTTGGATCGTCGTTGGATCGAATCCCGCTGAAGAAGTCTGATGAGGAGGTGTGGTGATATCCGAAATAGTTATCACTTCTACAATTTTTATAAATTATTGTTGCTTTTCCACAATAGTTTTTCATTAAAAATGGCCTCAAGCTCAATAAAAAAAAAAAAATGTGTACAAAGTTTGAGATTTGGACTTATATGGGTTTTGCTAGATAAGGAGCTGAACTTTAATAAAAAATTAATTGACCTTAAAAAAGCAAGATGAAAGTAGTCAAAACTGGTAAAAATGTTGATGTGCTATCTTTTGTCGCGTGCTGTAAATTACACTAAAAATTAAGGGCACAATGATAGTAAGGATTACAACAAATATATTACAAGGGTATTATAACTTCGTTCGCATAAAGGTTATTTGTAACAGCTTAAAGACTGAAATCGATTAAGCCATTATTATATGTCCGTCCGTGTATATGATAACTCGAGCAAAAATTGAGATAATATCTCAACCAAATTTGCTATAAAGGTTGCCTTTACCCAAGGTGGGTCGGTATTGAAATGAGCCAAATCCAACGGTAACCACCCAACAAACATTAAGATTTGAGCTCAACTTGAGGTTAAGTTGAGAACTAAAGTATTTCTCAAATCCCCAACATTGTTTCTCAACAGTACCTCAAGTGGAGGATCATAGCGTTCTCAACAAAAATGGCTTTTTTCTTTGTA